TCATAATTTTTAATAATATTAGCATTCTGCACGCCTCTATATTGTTTACCAACATAGTAGTATAAAAAAAATAAACTATATATCTGCGAAATTTCATACTTCTCTGTCCGCGTAATTTTAAAAGGTTAAAAGGGTTAACAAAGTTTTTCCTTTATTAATGGAACGCCTCTTACAAATATTAGTGTCCGCCAGATTTGAACTTGCAACCTTTGAGATCTGAGTGAAAACAAATACACAAAATAGTTGTCACCAAGTGTGGCACTACTTTTGTTAGCTGGGTTAAGTTGTTCTTAATTTTAAACTCGCTCTAACAGGCTTCAATCCATCCCCCCTGAGGTTTTTGCCCCTGAGTCGATGCCGGGGCAAAGGGGTTCGTCCCGATGCCCCCCAACCTTCACCTCCCTAGGGAGGTGCAGATGACCAGACAGTAGACAGACTCTTATGATATGTCAAATCTACCGTCAGTTCGGAGTGCTTTCGAGCTGAGAACTGACAAGAATCTCAGCTCGTATTCTTTTCAAATATTGTTTACAATAATACAGACAGATTCATTTTTAAATTTAAATTTGGGAGAAAAGTGTGACTGCCAGCATATGCTATTGAAATTTTGTCACAAGCAAATAGTCTAACCAGAGCTCGTAACCCGAACAGACCAGTCCCACAGGCAATAGACGTTGCTTTACGTGATAACATTAATGTAATGCCCCTAAAGAATATTTAAGTGTCAGCTAGATTTGAACTAGCAACCTTTGGGGTCCAAGACGGAGTAAACCTATAAGTTACGACGCTCTGATAATAATCACAAAAAACTGAATGAATACAACAGCGTTCAGGGTCACCACTTCGCGCGCGTTGAAGATAATATTTATTTAGTATTTAGTGTAATATATGATAACATATCATTATTACTAAGCGGAAACTCAAATAAACTAAATGACATCGTGAAATGAATCTCGAATTTGAAATCTGGAATCATCCACCCTGCGCCAACGGTGTACGCTGGCGGGGCACCAATGGAGGATGAAAGAATGAGTCAGGTCAGGTCAGATAGCATATCGTGTCAAATTCACCAGGATTTTTTTTTTTTTGTATGTGATAATGGAATGGTGCATCCGCCTGCGCTAACGGTTTACGCTGGCGGGGCACCAGGATGAAATATGAGCATGAGGTCAGGTCAGTTAGCCCATCGTGACAAATTCAGCACGATGGTTTCCATGGAGGTCAACCTGTGATGGTACAATGGGTTTATTAGTCCACATTACTAACAATCCCATTTCCCCCCTCACCAGATTTTATCATGGTGGTTTCCAGGATCAGGTGGATCACCTGGTTTTTTAGTAATGGAGATTTATGATCATAGATCTAAGTAGGCTCCATGCTACAGGCCTTAGCACCTGACAATAGCCCAAAACCCGAAAAAAATGTACCATGTCACAACTTGACATGGTACATTTTTTTAGGGTTTTGGCTATAGTTAAATTCGCCAAGAATTTATCATGATGGTTTCCAGGACCGCGTGGAAGTCAACCTCACATGGTACATTGCTAACAATGGAGTCATATTGATGAAAAATTTGTTGAAATTGTTAGAATTGTCTAACAATTAAAATCACATTACTAAACAATCACCTTTTCAGTGTAGGATTGTATTTCACCTACATATTTATAAACAAAACACTTCATTTAATTGCAACATATAATTTATATGTTATCGACTTAGATGGGATATTACATTACTCAACTCTATAGCAATATTGTATAGTAATATTTTTTTAAGGATGATAATGGAATGGTGGACCTGCCTGCGCTAACGGTTTACGCTGGCGGGGCACTAGTGGAGGATGATAAGATGAGCATGAGGTCAGGTCAGTTAGCCCATCGTGACAAATTCACCAAGAATTTATCATGATGGTTTCCAGGGGGAACCGCGTGGAGGTCAACCTGACATGGTACATTGCTAGCAATAGGATTATTAGTCCACATTACTAACAATCCCCTTTCCGCTATAGTAATATTATATCAACCTTTACTGCAAAACTATGGAATGCATATGAATAAATAAATATCCGTATTACTAACAATATAGGAAAAGACTGGTTAGCTATAGGACAAAACGAGACGAGAGAATATTGGAAAAAGATGGAGGAGGCCTCCACCCAAAGAGGGGTCCATATCCACAAAAAGTATGATTGTAATTGTAATACTAACAAATAGATCATAAGGAAAAAAAAAATTTTTTTTTAATTTTTTTTTTGTACAAACATCTGGATGGATATGTAAATAAAAGGCTTCATTATTATTATTACTAACAATCCCCTCACCCCAACGCAAGACATGTGCATGATATCCGTAGTATTTTTTTTATACTACGATTGTGGCAAACAGGCATACGGCCCATCTGATGGTAAATGGTTACCGTAGTCTATGGACTGACACTAACAATGTTACGTGCTCTTTGCCGACTCTTAAGAAACCTTAATATATCCTTTTTGAAAAACACCATGCTGTAGTCTCTAGAGAAAATCTCGGCAGGCATTTCATTCCACAATGTAAGTGTACGCGGGAGGAAGCTCCTCTGAAACCGCACTGTCCGAAACCGCTTACGTTCCAGCGTGTGGGGATGTTTTTCCTGTCGATGGCGAGCGGTGCGATGGTAAAAGGTAGCCGTAGGCATCATGTCGCACAATTCCTCAGAACACATGTATATTCGGTAGGACTAGGGTTCATGATTTCTCAAGCTTTTCAATTTCTCGGGTCTCGAGAATTCTCGAGGTCAATTTCTCGGGTCTTCTCGGGTTGTCGAGAAATTTACATTTATGTACGTTTTCTCATATTATTTGGTTCCAATAACTTAAAAAAACTCAGTGGTTTCATTTGAGAGGAAAACCACTGCATTATTTGTTAAATCTTTAACTAAAAATAAAAAAATAAAAATTTAACTATAAAATGAATTATAAAACCGTTATTATTGAGTATATTTAAAAACATTATACATATTATGAATAAGCAACTTTTTTTTTAAATACTGAAATATATTGGGTTTTACATATGTAATTAGCGTTTTGTCGTACTGGCCACATTGATCTTAAATATCTCCTCTTTGGTTAGAAATTTCAATTTCAAATTTATACGGCTATTCACTCATGCATTTGTTTTTCGAAAACCGTAATACATGTGCTTGGTTTTTTCTTTGGGTCACTCAGCTTACAAAATGGAAAACTTAAAATATTGCGTCAATATACATGAATGAAAACCTTAATATCTTGTATTATTGCGCCGCCACGCAATACAACAAACAGAAATTTAGTTTCTATATAGGTACTTGATTTCTCGAGTTCTCGACTTTTCTCGAGCTTGATTTCCCGGGAACAGAACCCAAGGATTTCCCGGGAATTCTCGACCCGAGAATTCCCGGGAATGAACCCTAGGTAGGACACACAAAAAGCAACTCACTTTTTCACATGAACAGTTTTTCTTTTTGTGTGTTCGAGGTTGCGACGGTTACCACCATCAGGTGGGCCGTAAGTTTGCTATTGTATAGTAATATAAAATAATGTAAACAACTCCAAATTGTATGTTTGTATGTCAGCGATTAATTAACCCATATTCTTTATCTGTATCAATGTTACCAAACGTTTATTATTCTTAAGTCACTTTCGCCTTGGGACTGTACATGTTATATGTAAACACTGGTACTTTGTCGCAGTGATATGTTTGGTAACTGTAAACATTTTTACGCATTATCAATAAACAGTTATAATGACAAGGTACAAAAATTTTGGTATTGTTTTCTAAGTGGATGGAATGGTAAACATATTTATCAGTAGCTGTACACGCGACTTCGTCCGCGTGGAATTTAACTTTATTTTTTTTTAAATAAAACAACAACCGCCGGAACAAACAGACATACAGACAAAAATTGTAAAAAATCTTGTTTTGGTATATGAACCCTATTTATATTCATATACATGTAGTAAATAACAGTTATTTCAATATTACAAACAGACACTCCAATTTTATTTATATGTATAGATTTGAATTTGATGGAAACATTCAGTGGATATACAGTAAAAATAATTTACTCTTGATTTCCAGTTGCACGCAAGACAAACTGTTACTTAGCAACAGGAACACTAATTTTAAATATCACATTTTATTCCATAACCAATGTACCTATTTCAGCTGTCAAACAGCTTGCTTTGTAAGATGTTATTGTTGTAGGGCGCAGATTAGGTAGTGAAATTACAGGATAAGAGGCGTGACATAGTCCTTAGGATTATTTAAAAGAGCAACACACAAATTTCTTGCTCGTTCTTCTTGTGATGAGACAACTTTACCCAATGAGCGATAGATAAAAAAAAGTTATACTTTCTGACTATTCAAAAGTGCTTAAATTAAGTTTATTTGAATAAATGATTTTCTATTCTATTCTTATTAATTAGTCCTCTATAATGGCAATACATGAGTGTTTTTTTTATAGATGTGTACTGTATTTAAATATTAAAATAGTTCATTAAGTGGTAACCTATATACATGAGTAGCAGTTTGAATATCACTTTATCATAGCAGCTTACACACATGCGTTGCTATTTCAGATTATATTATATGATGTCGTGCCTCGATATTCCATAATTCACTGCCTAATCTCATCCTTTAAACCGAAATAGATTACAAAGCAAGCTGCTTGGCGGCTGGAATGGTGAGACTGAAGTACACACGCCGACGAGTTTTTACAAAGTCTATTAAATATTGATAATATACCCATAATGTATTCAGAATAACTAGTAATCGACATTCGACCATAATTTATTTAAAATTTAGTAAGACTACAGACAAATAATATTATAGACAATATGTATCTATTCCCAATTTGACCATAGACTAGCAATAAACAAAAGAGTGGTGTTATGTGTAATGCTTTTTTATTAATATTTTTTTTTAATTACAAATAAATAACACTTTGCTTCACGTTATATATAGATGTATTTATTTTTGTTTCAGATAAATCAACGCCAGCCAAACACAAGACTGAATTTTATACATCTACATAAAGCTATGTAGTCTATTTTATACAAAAAAAAAACAAAAATTTATACTACATTCCAACATGTTTCATTGACGGATGCTTTGCATTGTATTGGCAGCCATTTTGAATAACAATTAAAGATGGCGTCTCCCGCCATTCGATCGGTCGTGGAAGAGAAAGATGGCGACGAGGCAGAGGAAAAACTTCTAGAAGGAAATCAAGTGTACATTGTACCGCCTGCCAATCAGCACGAGGATGGTCTGATTTCTGTGAAATCTTCAAAAAAAGGTTAGTCATTTTAATATTTATTAAGAATGGCTGATACACCGATGAAAGTAGTAGTCACTGTGTACTCTGTGTATCACATCCACACGTGAAGCCCGTTTTGTTTATATATGACGAAGGAATGATGCTCTCGCCTGCGCTAATGGTTTATGCTGGCGGGGCAACAGTGGAGGATAATAATATAAGCATGAGGTCAGGTCAGTTAGCCCATCGTGACAAATTCACAAGGAATCTATCACGATGGTTTCCAGAAGGAACCGCGTGGAGCTCAATCAGACATGGTACATTGCTGTCAATGGGGTCAACAGCCCACATTAACAATCCAAATATCGCCCTCCTTGAAACCTTTTAAGGATTGCCATTCTAGAGGACTATAGTACTATACTCCTCTGTACCTTGCAGTTTTACAACTCTGTCTACTGCTATATCTCCTCTGTCATACCAAAATATGGCTTCCCCCGCCCGTCATAACGAAGCAAGTTGCTTGTCAGCACAAATAGGGTACACTCACTTTATCATTTTGTACGTTTGTTAAAGTTTTTATTACTCTTTCTTTCTTTATTCAAATAACGTACAAATATTACAAAATTTATTATACATTGGACCCCGCACTAGGCGAACCTGTATCGCGGGAGTCCACAAAAGAATTGCCAAATAATTATTTACTATTATTGAGTATTACTGTATTACTATTACACTATTTACACTATTACTGTATTTACTATCAGTGAGTTTTACATATCAGACTAATTAAGATTTTTTAGATTAATTTCATAAAAACACAATTGTTGACTATATAAAAATGAAACAAAATAAACAGAAAATAAAATAAAAAGAAAATTTAAAGTTCATTATCATTGTTCCTGAGATGATATGTGTGCATAGTTTTAAATTATTCAAATTACACGATGTTAACATTCTTATTAAATTATTGATTGATTACTCGACTGTAATGTTGTACGTATGATTGTATATATATACTAACTTAACGTTGTTTAACCACGTTGATGATAGAGGGCTGAAATTTTAGGGTTGTATATATTTTAATGCTACATTATAAAAAAATAAAACTTTGTCCAAAAAATAAAAACAAAATTTTAAAGGTGGACAACCCTTACAACTTAGGGGTATGAAAAATAAATAGTAGCCGATTCTTAGACCTACTGAATATGCATATAAAATTTCATAAAAATCGGCCAAACCGTTTCGGAGGAGCATGGTAACTAGCATTGTGACACAAGAATTTTATATATTAGATATTATAAAACAATAAGCCTTTGTTTAAAATAAATTAAATTTTCCTAAATATTACTCATCTAACCACAATACAATGTACGTATTTTTTTTCTACCTAAGTATAAAAACGTGTATGAGATTACTGAAATAGCTGTATAATCAGCGTACTTTGACATCACCCTACAATTATAAAACATAGCATTACTCTATGGTACATATTTCTTTTTTAATTGCGGGTCATCGTATAACATTTTCATTGTAGGTAGTTTTGTGTCATCCTTATATTTGTCATAAAAGATATAGAATAACGCATGGATTTTAGAAGCGTATTAAAATTGTTTTAAATTGTATTTTTAAGCGGAAAACTTATTCCAAATTCAAAATAATCAAGTGAAAGTGATTTTTTTAACGTCATGGGTAAAAATAGATATAAAAGGGTCAGAACATGTAAGTACTTTTTTCACAATTAATGACGCAAAGGAATTAGGTTTTCAAGAATGATACTTGTTCTTATTTTAAATTATTTAATAAAAAAATTGTTTCTAATAATTTAAGTTACATTTTTGTTTAACAATGATTTAAGTAATTAAAATGCGGTTTTGCCTATAAGTAACTTCTAGATCATACTATCTGAAAAATTATTGTTTTACAATAAGTTTGATTCCAAAAACGTCAACATTATTTTCGATTTATTTAATCTATGGAATTGAAAGTGTTCTATAAAAGAATAGTCAATTAGATTTAGAAACGCATATAACGAAGGTCTGTTAGATGACCTCGGTGGTCTAGAGGTCTAGCACACCGCTTTACGTCCAATGGTCGCGGTTTTGATTCCTCGCACGGTACAAACATTTGTAATCATGAGTATAATTGTTTGTATCGGTCTGGGTGTTTTCTATGTATAATATGTATGTATTTACGAAAAAAAAATATCTATGTATTTGTATCAGTTATCTAGGACCCATAACAAAGCTTTAGCTAGCTGAACTTTGGTCTTTTGGGTTATCTGAGATTATTATTATTATTATAATTTGGTTTTAAGAACGTACAGGTCAACCTGACATGGTAAATTACTAGCAATTAACAGTTCACACAGTACTAGCAATTCCTGTTCCCCACAATATAGGGTAATATTATATCTATATGTTTCTAAAGTCGTATCCGTCAGGCGGGAGTTGTCCTTCAGCCGCTCCATAAGTCCTTCCTTTGGTTTGGAGTGTCATCTGTACTCGCCCCCTAATGTCCGGTGAAGCTGTAAAGGCCAGATGCGGCCAACAGTATTTTTTTTTTAAGAATGATATATAATGATTATATTTTTTTTTTTTTTTTGTGGATGATAATGTAATGGTGCACCCGCCTGCGCTAACGGTTTACGCTGCCAGATGCGGCCAACAGTATTTTTTTTAACACGACGGTTTCCAGGGGGAACCGCGTGGAGGTCGAACATTGAATGATATATAATGATTATATTAAAATAGTGGATTTATAACCCCATTGCTAGCAATGTACCACGTCAGGTTGACCACCACGCGGTTCCCCTGGAAACCATCAGGTTAAATTCCTGGTGAATTTTTCATGATGGGCTAACTGACCTGACCTCAAAGTTATTTAATCATCCTTCACTGGTGCCCCGCCAGCGTATACCGTTCGGGCAGGTGGGTGCACCATTCCATTATCATCATCATTGCCTTATCTTTATCCCATTATTTGTGGTCGGCGCAGTATGTCATTCTCTTCCACTGCTCTCTATCGGTCGTCATATCTGAACATACTCTTCTTTTATTCATATCATCTTTCACACAATCCATCCATCTTTTCTTAGGGCGTCCCATCCCTTTACATCTATCCACATTGATATTATACACTTTCCATAAGACATGGTCCGCGGTCCTCCGCATAACATGCCCATACCAGCTCAATTATTCCATTATCATCCCTCAAAAAATAAATAATAAGAAAGATAAGCGATTGTCGAGATATATATATATAGATTTAACTACAGCACTTGACAATAGATTGCTTAAAAAAACATTAATAACATTTATCCTTGAAACTTTGTTGTTTTAATGATAACTGATTGAGTATTCAATACACGATTGATAAATAATGAGTTATATAAATAGATTTATCAATATTAAATCAATACATTTTGTTATTACTACTTACCTGTGTAGTCTAGACCTAATACCCGTACTAATATTATAAATGCGATAAATGTATATGTTACGCATATACATTTATCGCTCCATAAAGACAGAGGGACCCATGCATAGAGGGAGCATGCAGGTTAACCTGACATTCTTTCCAATAAATCATAATTTCCAACCCCATGCTGAGCAAGCATCTCCCAATCATGGTACAATGCTAGATGCTACCACATCTAAGCAACAATGCACCTGACTACCGTCAGTGTAGTAAACAACTAGACTATGGTATGATTATGAGAAAGAAATACAACAAATAGTTATTTCTTGTATTTTTTCGTTATAGTTTGCATGTTAAAATTAGGTAACTTAAACATGCAAAATATAACGCTTATATTAGCTTTATATCATTAAATTTATGTCTGACTCTTGTTAATAAAAAACATTATTGCATCTTGTTTTCACGCCATAACTACTAAGCCGATTTAAATGAAATTTCGTACACGGATAGTCTAGACCCTGAGGAAGGACATAGGCTACTTTTTAATGCGAAGAAAGGGTTGTAAGGAGTTGAAAGGGGGAGATGAAATGTTAATTGTCTATTTCTATTTCTCATTTTTAGCAACGTAGGTTGACCTCCACGCGGCTCCCCTTGAAAACCATCGTGCTAAATTCATTATCAATTTACCTCGATGGGCTAACTGACCTGATCTCATGTTCATCTTATCATCCTCTACTGGTGCTCCGCCAGCGTAAACCGTTAGCGCAGGCGGGTGCACCATTCCATTCACATCAAACATCAACTAGTTGTTTTCACCCACGTTAAATTTCAAAATAAAATATGGCCTATGTGATATTCTGATATATAAGCTATATTACTGTAAAGTTTCATCAAAATTCGTTCAGTAGTTTTTGCGTGAAAGAGTAACAAACATCCATCTTAAACTCACACGGCCTTATTACAAAAAGATAAACCTGGTTTAGCACTAGTAATAAACCATTCACCAATGTATTCCTTATTACAAAATGAAGTTTATCTCTAAATCGTGATTCGTCTATGGTCTAAAGTTAGACCTGCGATGCCCCTAGTTTAACAGTGGTCTAAAGGCAAAAATACAAACTCCATTTTAAAAATTCTATTGTAAGTTGTAGTTTTTGGAAAAATATTTTAACCAAATTAAAAATAAACTTAACTAAAAATATCTAAAGCAAATTTTACGACAATAAAAATATATAAAAGACGTTATTTGTTATTTTTTCACTCATTTGACTTTGAAATAGTCACCATTCGAACGATCCAATAAAAATATCTCGCCGTTCCTTTTCTCTGTATAGGACTCCTACTTATAATTTAAAACTGATTTTCAGCCTAATAGTACATTAATAAATATTATATATTAATGAAATAGTTATAATGAAGACATAGATGAATAGAAATAAATTTATTTTTAGTTTATACATTTTTCTTTGAACTAATATTATTTTTGATCTTTTCAGTTTTCTGGTAAAATGGAACGTAATTGTACGGCGACAGACATGAGTGACTGATTTCTGTATGGAATACATAATGAACGATTTAACTGTAGTACTAAGTAGTCCTCTGTTAGATCTGGATTCGTAATA